GGTGACGATGCTCGAGTTACGCTTTAGCAGATGCCGCCTGAAGTGCACGTTAGGATAGAGCGAACGCGATGCACCTTCCTTCTGGATTATTACCCCGCATGGCTTTCTGATCAACACACATCAACAATATCCAAAACACCGCCGCATCCCCTTCCTGCTGCATTTTAATTCTGCTAACATTGCTTGTGACAGGGCCGAGTACAAGACCAATGCAAGAGTCAAGTATCCGACACAAGAACCCGATTCACACAAGAGGAGGACAATACGGGCAGGGTTGAGAATAACACCCATGAAAATGATTAGCGAAAGATCACCGAACACGCAAGAGAAGGGAATAATTCGCGGGGAATGGAGACGAGCTGAGGAATCCGAATCCGACCGACGAGTCCGAACCATAAGCGAACCGAGGCCGAGCCCAAGGGTAAGCACGCCGGCTAAGAATGGCATCCACCGATCGGCGCAAGATCATGACTGCGCAAGGGGGGGCAATACACGGAGCAAGAGCTCGAGAGCACAAGACCATAACGAGTCTGACATCGGCGAGTCAGAAAAGCAGTCCGAATGGCAGTCCAAACGTTTTGGGCTCAAGCTTTTCGTTGGCGTAGCCAAGAACAAGCATCAATTGTCGGCGATCGGCGAAAATTTCCAGGAGAGGACACCACGTGGGGCAGCGGAGAGCACAAGAGCCCAACATGGACGACGAAACCAGGGTCCAAATAAGCACTTCTAACCGGTGAGATAGGTGGCAAGATCAGGCAAGTAGCTTAATCAGATATCGTCAAGGTTGCTCGCCGGCTCCTCCAGGCTGCTGAGACGAGATCGGAGATACTTCAGCAGTCTCCCACATCTGACACGCCTTTGCTCGTAGGGCAACACAGGGCAATCCTCCTAAGGAGGATCTCCTCGTTGTTCTTATTTGCGACTTCATGATCGTCGCCAGTGACAGCAGGTTCAGTGCTTGTGATGCAACCCAACAATGGTTGAATTATATTGCCATTAGATGTAGATATCGTCAACCCCGATACCATGCTCTCCATGCGACTTCGATATTCCCCCACGATATCAACGCTCGCAAAGCCATTACTGACACAAAGCTAGAATGACTAAGGAAGCGAGGAAAAGTCCTTTCACACCGGGTGGGTAGACTCCATGCATCGCGGCCGAGCTCGTCTTGTAGCGCACGGTGTGTGTTTCCCGACCTGCGGAAGCCTGGTCCATGCATGTGGATATTTTTGTGTCGATTGATTCTTTTGACTTCAACTGGTCCAGATAGTCGTCCGTCAGCTCGCACCAAACAACGCAGCTCTCGAGGCCAATGCGGTGAACGTAGGGCGACGGGCAGCATTCGTCCAAAGCGTAGAGACTCTCGTTTGTGTAAAATGTCGCTACCCAGTTGACGCTGGTGGGAATGCCGTAACCTGATGACGACATTATGTCCCAGGCCTCTGAACTATTTTCGCATTTTGACATGGCTGCTGGCTGGGCGATCCGGTGCTGATGTCGTTTAGTGTGCGGAACGCTGGTGATGCTGCCTGAGTAGGTGCTCGAAAGTAGAAATCGTGTGATTTGAACGGATGACGATACGACAATTGTTCGGTATGCATCGCGTATCGTAGCTACCTATATACGTAAATATTCCGGCCAGTTAGTGGTACTGGGTTCCAGCAGAGCTGGGATCCCGATCCTCGCTACGTCATTGACGCTACAAGGCTGCGCGCACATGCTCACGATGCCAGATCGGTGAGCCGAGAGGCAGGAGTGTGCCAAGGCTAGCATCCAAACGACAAGCATCCACTGGTCAAAAGTAAGATTACTGCAATCCTTCGAAAAGGACTCCACGAGGCTAACACAAAATGAGAAGCTTACAAGATCATACAACGGCAAAGACGATCCTTTCGCTACGACTTTCGATCCGAAAAATTAGGCGCCATGCCATGTTCAGGTTGAACTATTGATTGTGCTCATGACGTCATGCCAGTTGTGTGCCGCTCGAAACGGCATGAGCACGAAGGAAGTACGCCGCGTGGGCAGAACTAGGTAACCTCCACGGATTATACTTGCGGGAGGCTATCTTTGTCAGTGCTTGCTCCGCGAACCTTGACGTTGCCGAATCGGTGTAACCTGCACGCAGACAAACGAGACTCTCGAGGGCCGATGCAATGCGAATGACTGGTCTTGCAAACAGCAATCCAACCGATTCTCACTGAATGCTCGCTAGGTCCTAACAGGACGACCTTAGAGCTGTCCGTTCGCTTTCAGGCTCTTGGCGCTGGCTATCAGCGCCTCCGTCGCACTCCTTGGCCGCCATCCCAACTCCTCCCGCGCCTTTGCGTTCGACAAGGGCCGCTCAACACCAAGCTGCGGCACGACAGTAGCGATAGCCTTGTCGAAGAAGCTTGCGAGTTTAAGTAAGATATTCGGCGCGACGAGGCTCGGGACCTTTTTCGAATCCTCCGCTGGCAGGCCCTGCTTGAGATCCGCCGCCATCTGCTTCATAGACACAATCTGCTCGTCCGAAATAGCAATGTAGCGCTGGCCAGCTGCTTGAGGAGATTCGAGAGCCAGCACATGCAAGTCGGCCACGTCACGGACGTCGACGACGCCGAGATTCAGGTTCGGAATGGCGGGCAACTCCCCAGATAGCAGGCGTCGCGGGATTTCGAGACTGGTGTTGACGCCCTTGCCGAGAGAAGGCCAGTACACCAAGGTAGGGTTCACAGTCGTCAACTCAAGGCTGCCTTTGCCTTCGTTCGCAACCCAGTCCCAGGCTGCACGCTCCGCGAGCGTCTTGCTCTTTGGGTACGCGCCGACGTGCGATTTGGGGTTCTCCAGCTCCGTCCAGTCCTTCTCCGTGAACGGGTCATCCTTGCTGCGCGGGCCATGGCCGTACATAATAGAGGCAGTTGATGATGTTACCACGACGCGCTTTACGGTGCCGGCTTCTTTCGCGGCACGCAGCGCCCGAAGCGTGCCCTCACGCGCGGGCTTGATCAGGTCGTTCTCGTCTTTTGGTTCGTCGGCAGGAAACGGCGACGCAACATGCAAAACGTAATCGACGCCCGCGCAGGCCACATCCCAGCCTCCCTCGCCGAGAAGGTCGACTTCGGTGAACTCAATGGCGTTTACCTGGACGTCGGGGACGCCTGCGGAGCGAATGGCGGCGCGTACATCGTCGCTGCGCTTGAGGGAGCGAACAGTGGTGCGTACCCTGTAGTTCTTCTCAAGAAGCTTGTGGATGACGTGCAGCGCGATAAAGCCAGGTCCGCCCGTTACGAGAACCCTTTTATCCTCAGCCATGACTTGGCTGTTACGAGTTGGTCGCTATTTTCGGTTTCAAGTAGAGATGCATTCGGCGTGACAGAACAAACAGTAAGTAGAACGCAAGGGAAGCTGTAGTGGCGGAAAACGAGGAGTTCCTAAGACGAGGAGAATGCCTTTACTAATGGAGGATTATCGAAGCGAGGGGATGAGCAGAGTGAAGAGGTCTTCCACAGGCGATGTCAGCAGTCAATGGTCGGTAGGGGATGTGAATGCATCTGAATTCTGGCCTACAGCGAGGAAAGACCCTGCGCGCGGCCTTTCTGTGCAACCGTGGTCTCAAGCCCCGCAACTGGCCGACGCCGCGCCACGGGGCCCTGATTGGTCGCGCCGGTGGAAGGGGCGCTGTTCTGGCCTCCCCGAGCGGAGACAGCGCTGATATGTCAGTAGGTAGGCACCTATAAATCTCCCGTTCGTGCATCTACAACGAACGAGTCGATACGTCCACCCAAGCCCACCGGTAGACAAAGCACATGCTCATAACCTACCAGCGGCAAACGACGACGCTTCCCATCACGAGTGTGTTCACGGCCATGGCACTCAGCCGAGGAGCGGCGGCAGCACGACCAAGAATTGCCCTCCATGTGACACGAAAATGATTTAATATATAAGAGCCTCCGAGGAAGCAATGAATATGTACGGATCGAATGCTCAACACAGGCATCGCCTGCGGCCTGAGACGGAAAGAATACCGCCTGGACGTACTCGGCTACCGAGTGTCCATGCCAAGGCTGTGCTCTTCTAACAGAGCTTGGACTTCTTCGGCTCGCAGCCGGGCGTCTTGGCCTTGTCGCAGCCGTTGTAGCCCTGGCACTGGGTCTTGGGGAAGCAGTTGTTGGAGTAGGTGGCCTGGAAGATGACATGTCAGCGACGCAACGAACTGCCTGGGCGACAAAACATACCCTGTCACCGAGGTTCGTGTTGATGCCGATGAGCTCACCGCCCTTCTTGGCCGTGACACCCTCCATGTGGACGGTACGCTTGCAGTTGCTGTTGCCCTTGCAGTTACCGCACGAGCGGTACACCTTGCCGTAGTCCTCGGCGTAGAAGTTGATAATGTTCACACGTCCACAGCCGTTGTGCTGGATGACCTTGTCGGCGGCGTGGTAGGCTCCGCCGCCGATGATGTTGGAGGTGCCGGAGCCGGTCAGCGAGATGGCGTCCTCGCAGACATCCTCAAACCAGGCAAACTCGACGTTGCAGCTGCCGCGGCAGTGAATACCCTCCTTCTGGTTGGCGCCAATGATGACGTTACGGACAGTGGCACCGTCCTCGAGGATAAAGACGGCATCCTTCTCGCCTAGAGTCACCGAGATGTTAGCAAGCCGTCGCACCGCAGCAGGGAGGGAGCCACGCACCACCCTCGCTCTGACCAGAGCACTTGACGCCACGGTCGTAGCGCTTCCACTGGCCGTCAAAGGTCTGGCCCTTCTTGATGACATAGGCAGACTTGTAAGAGACGGTGCCTGTGGCCTTGGGGATGCCACCGCTGTAGCCGAGGCATGCCATGGCGGCGGGCAAGGCCGCGAAGAGAGTGAAGAGGCTGGAGGCGTGCATTTTGAAAGAATGTGTACCGGTCAACGGTATGTCGGTGTAAGATAAAATGAATGAAATAGTTGCGGATAGAGTCGAGCCTTCCGCGATGTCGGGGTAGCGGGCCATTGCCTTTATACTTGGCCACAATCTTTCCAGAATAACCGTATCTAGAGAAGCAGATGGACTTGTCCGGGACCAGGGTCTTGGCCGGTTCCATGAGCTCCCCAACTTGGAAAGCCACGGACAAACATGGCGGAGACACTGGGCACAAGGGCGCTCATTCGGAGATTCGGTGAGGGCAGGCCAGTGGCACCAAGGACTCACTGTCCTTGGCCCACCAGAAGAAGCATGACAGGCATATCTTCGGGCATGCAGTCCACCGGTAGACTCGGACGGACGTCGAAGATGCGGTAGTCCCTCTCCGAAAAGCTTGCGCTGAAACCTGATCGGACTTGGCACGAGGGTCGCTCGAATTATGCTTATGTAGTGGGTCTCGTGGCCAGGGTAGGGTCGTTTTTGAGATTACACGGATCCGACGCCAAGGGTGGCAGTCAGCCACACATACGAACCTCTCTGAACCGGGCTCGGAGGTGAAGGCCGTTCAACCTCAGCTGATACAGGCGAGGCGCGCCAATCGTTCTTCGAGGACGAGAGCTTCGCGACAGAGAGGTATCGTCTCTTCGAGCCGTCGTGATTCCTTTGATTGTGTCAGTCGGACTTGGCCCAGATTGCGTTGCTTGTTCGATCGGACGCTAAGACAAGGGCAAACTTAAACTCTCGAGCTCTTCACAGCAATCGTCGACTCTAAGGAGGTTTTCTGAGGGTTTTAGTCATTCTCCCAAGGCATTCAATGCCATGGACAGAATGGGGTACTTCTCTTAGTGGGTCTAGCCAGCAGACATCGTGGGAATAGCCCAGGATTACCCCAGGTGCCCAAGGGATACGCTAGACTGCGCCTCAATAGATGAAACATTGACGGGCCTCTAATAAAGGCTAACGATGAGGACGACTATTTTCTCTGCCCTTGTTGGATATTCGCTCTGCCCGGCAGGGGTTCAGACGCACTAGACAGGGATCAAGCCCCAAACACAGCTCTATCACCCGAGTTAGCTGTAGCAACTATGTACCTGTCCTCGTCTCTTGTACCTACCTACCTTCAAGTCAGGCGTAGTGGTCGCGAACGGTCTTAAGCAGCTCTTCATACGTATCTGCAGTGCAGGAGGCGATAGGACCCTCAGTAACGGCCTCGGTGACGGCCGGTGAGTCTATCGGTGAAGGAGGCATCGGAGAGGCTTCGTTTGACGATAAAATGAGGCGTTGGCGATGTCTGGAGGGCTCAAATAGGCGTATTTAGTGGTGTTGAGAATTCAGAATAGATAGGGCAACTGTAGAGCTTTAGGGGGTTGCAGAGCCCTAGGGGGCTGCCTGCGTTGCTTTGTCAGCTGGTTATAGCTGGTCTTCAGCTCGGAATTCAAGGAGAGACTCCTCGAGAGACTCAAGTGTACAAGAGACGAGGACAGGTACATAGTTGCCCCAGCTAATTTGGGTGGTGAAGTTGTGTTTGGAACTTGACCCTTGTCTACTGTGCATTTACCCTGGTCGGGCAGAGCGAATATCCGACAAGGGCAGAGAAATAGTCGTCCTCGCTAACGATCAGCTTCACCGAACCTGAGATTGGGGAATGAGCAGCGTGTCCTGGCGCTTCGGTTCGTGAAGCGAACTCGTTGTTCGATCTGAACGTTCGCTCTGACAGGGGGCCTCGACGTGGTGCTCTGTGCTGCATCAATCAGATCAGCTGCTGATCATGGTTGTTCGAGTTCTGCAGAATTAATCCATCCAATCGCAGATGCTCGGGATCGTGTCGCAGACGGACTACCCTTGATCGTGGTGCAGAGAGTCTCCATGCCCGCCGAGTCTGTAGGCAAGAAGTCTGGGGCTCGGGATCGATCTGGGCTCCTTGAACGGCAGGCCAAGTTGGTCTGACCGAGTACCAGGCCTCCAGCAGCTATTGAGTCAGCCGATCGGGAGCAGAAGAGGTAACTGGCCCGGCGCGCGTCCAACCTCTGCAAGCCTGAGAAGCGTGACCCGATAAGTTGTGGATGCCGATAAACACGCCAGGCTTGGAGCTGGTAATTAACAATCATAGTTCCCGAGGGTATAGTTCAACTGACCATTGGGTCTCGACCTGAGCTGATCATTGGGTCCTCTTTCAATCTACGCTAGCCTATCTGGGAACTGACCTGACTTTGGGGTGTGGCGGATAGGGTGAATGTAATAAAGTTGTGTTACCTAATATTTATCGACTTCTTTTTTAATAATCAATTTAGATTCGACTTAGAATTTTTTTTTAATTAAAAATTAGTGGACTTAGTAGTCTGCCTTTGATGGATTTAGTGGTCTGAATGTAATGGATTTAGTGGTCTGGCCTCAGTGGAATCTGGCTGGCCTCTGCTATATTAGGTAACCAAGGCACGTGAGACTTTAACTGCACCCCATAGCACCCCCCAATGGTCAGGTCAGTGCTAGCGCGATTTGAAAGCGGACCCAATGGTCAGCTCAGGTCGATACCCAATGGTCAGTTGAACTATACCCTCATAGTTCCCAAACGAATGGTGGCTTGGCACTGCGCGCCCATCAATGGACCTCTGAGGGCACTGCGTTTTCCACCCTGCTCTGACATCACAAACCCTTGTGCTGGTACTCCTGTCATCTCAAGAGGCCCTCTTCTCGAGACGGTGAAAAGACTCGTGTTGAATCCTTGCTGCTTCAGCAATTGGTCTCCTGAGACGACATGAGGCTAGCCTTGTAAACTTGGAGATAGTGAGGATCCAGGCTAACTTTGCACTCCCACTACGGCTGCGGCTTGCGGCGCCGAAAAGCAGTTTGCCCGTTCAAAGTGGGGGTTTCTGACTCACGGATCCCAGTGAAGTGTTTATATGGTGCAATAAAGAACAACTCTCGGCATGAGCAGCGGCTGGCAGGGGGTTGAAAATTCAGGAGCACTCTTTTTTTTTTGTTTTCCAAAAGATGGCCGCGTCCCTTAATCAAGATTGAGCGAGTTTAGCGCGTCGGGTACCGCCATGACATGTATGGAAAGCCGTTACGTGGTTCTGGCGCTCTGGCTGCCTTGCTACTGTACAAGCGCAAGACTCCTGTGGACTGCCATGCGTTGTTAGACCATGACCGGCGATGATCAACCTACAGCACGACGTAGTCTTTCGATCAATACACCACGGAAAACTTGCGCGGAAATCATCAAAGGCAGGCATAAGCATTGATTAGCGGTGAACCAAACTCGTAAATACGCACAAATGTGATGTATGGCGTACTGTACGACAACCACATTATAGTTTACTGTGACCAGTGCTGCTGGCTCCCCACCGCTGTAGGTGCCTCTCTGCAGCCTTCCGGGGGCTCATGCCGTCGACGTGTCCGATGAACGGCGCTGCAACTTGGTACCCAAGCATGTCGACAATCCTCTTGGGAATGTCAGGAAGCTTTTCAAAGTCAACGGCGAGGAACTGATTTTCAATGGTGCGGATCCACGGCTGGCAGTACTGCACAGTCAGGGCGCGACGGTCGCTGTCGGAGGTGTTGCAGCCGCCGCCGTGCCAAAGGGTGCCGATGAAGTAGACGATGCTGCCCTTGGGCATCACGACGGGGACTGCCTCGGCGCGGCTCGGGATGCGATCGGCGCCCCACGTGTGCGACTTGGGCACAACAACCGTCGCGCCGTTGGTAGAGGTGTAGGGGTCGAGGGCGATCATGATAGCCTGGTTTGATAGTCAGCAGGATGAGAAGGGGAACGCAGGCGGATCTGTGTGAGCGGACGTACAGAGCCCAGCGGCCTGTGTGGCCGTGGTAGAGTAGCGTACCCATCGTCGTGGTGGAGCGTCTGGGGCTCCTCGCCCGGCTGGATGTTGATGCTCTGAAAGTTGCTAAGGAGGAATCCGGGGTCGAGGAAATACTTGTTAAGGGCCTCGACTTTGGGATGGATGGCAAACTTGTCAAAGACCCTGGACTTGTTAATGAGCGTGTAGATGCGCCTCGTCTTGAAACCCTCAAAGTTGTTACGGCCGTGAGTACTAGCAGGGCCGCCAAGCTCGGGTGAAGCGCTTAGACGCTCTACTTCACCGATGGCCTCATTGATTTCTACGTCCCCAAAGGCGTTCTCGATGACGACGAAGCCGTTTTCGACAACGTGGTCGATGAGCTTTTGCGTTTCTGGGTCGGGGTGTGTGCGATAAAGCTTGGCGGAGGCGCCGGTATGGCCGTTGATGATGGTGTTGTTTGGTGGTTCCTCTGGTTGATATGACATTTTACAGGCGAATTGGCGTCTAGCAGGTTGACTGAGGCAGAAAGTGGTCTGTGGTTTCGCGCTGGTGCTCCAACGTTCGTGTGGGTATGCAACCCGTCCATGGGCGGCTCCGTCTCTTGGTCTATATCTTGACAACCTTGGAGAAAGAAGCCGAGGCACAGAACGGAGGTTACACTCTGTAGGTCCCAAGCACCCAAGCACCCCGCAACTGTAACATAGCGCCAAAAGCACTCGTACGACGCGGGCGAAGTATGTTTAAGGTTTCCCCACCTCACAGCCGGCATGTGCGTTTCCCCGCTCGTGACTTTCCGAGCAATTGGCTGTCGAAATGCCTTACTGGGCCTCCGTAGCCCGGCTGCCTCGGCTTCCTCGTCCCACTCCGGGTTTACGGTTGAGTTGATGCCTTGCTCCGAGCCCCGCCGCGTGGCGTCCCGGCGATAATCCCTACGTTCTCACGCCGGTTCCGAGCAGCGCGCGTCATCCGATTCGGCCCCGTGCTCCTGTTGGCAGGGCTGTTGGCAGGGATCGAAACTTGAGATGCCTAAGGCCCTGTGAGGCATGACGGGCCGCTGGCATAATACAGAGTCGGAGCTGTCTGGCGTCGAAATGATGCCCATAAGAAGAGGCCGGTGACGGGCAGCTGGCTTAAACAGCAGCGGCCCAAGGAAACGATATTTGTGATATGCGGCGTAGATGCTCGCGTCGAAGACCAGATTCGATCTTCGATGCATGATTTGACAGTCGGTGCTCGAGCACTTGGTGTGGAGAATTGACTCTCTGTTGCGATCGGCGTCGAAATCGGCTTCGCGAGCGTGAGTTTGACCGGATTTCTTTAGCGCGTCACCGAGAGTCATCCTCGACGGGCACTTGTGGCGAAGAATGGCGAGCCATGTGGAGGGGTCTGGTCCACACGTCTTGGTCTCTTGGGTGCGGGACGCCTGTATCAATCTGCTGCCTTCGCTTACCATGTCCGCAGTCGTGATGGCATGTCATGGTGGAGCTGCCCGTTCGGAACACCACGTTGGAAGGTTCCTCTTGTGCGGTCTCGACCGACGTTCCAATCATCTGTCGCTAAGCATGGTTCACTCTATGTAATGTTCCAGAAGCGAAGCAATTGGGTGTGCCAGGCGGGGCCCGGAGATGGCCAGATTGACGTGACGAGCCGAGCTGACGCACGGAGCCGGTCGGCCAGGGGCGTGATCTCGTGAGTCCAAATTCTCAAGGTCCCCTGGACTGTGTGTAATTCGCCCTAGAGAATACCATCTCCGTGGGTGTCCAGAGAAGCATGCCCCGGCATCTCCAGTTCCAGCAGGTAGGGAGTCGCAGGCTTTAGTCGCGGTAGCTCTGGTTGATGGCATTGAGGCGCCTTCGGAAGCATGAGCCATTGGTTTCTGCTTGGCGTGCTCGGCAGACGCAGAGGTCCTTCATGACATCGCCATTCTGGCGCCTCGTCCCGAAAGATCAACAATTCCTGCTTTTACTCCATGACACTGGGTTCAAAGCACATATTTCCTATGGACGTCAGCCGTCCCTTTAGCTGCGGCATCTTTCTTTCATAAGAGAAAACCTTGAGCTGTATGTACCAAAGAATTTCCGTTGCAAGAGCGACGGCTTGTAGTACTAGTCATCTAGTCTTTTTACACCCAGGCTGGCTCGACTTGTAACTTTGGAATTTTCTGGCCTCTCCGTGCAAAGTCATCATGTCCCACTAGGTATACTTGCGGGATCTGTAAAAGAGTGAGAATGGGTATGGGATCCGCGGACTTCGGAGTATCCTTGAGGCAAGACGTCGATGACCATACTGTTGGTCTTCGTTGGCGTTCGTTGGACGTAATCGCAGATGTCGGGGGAGGGGCCGTCGACAGGCAGCCGACGGCCTCGTCGATGCGAGGATAGGTCTCGACAATGTTCTGAGCCACCATGTCACTCCGCTGGTCGAGACATCAGTGCGGACTCCCTAACCGAGGTCAAAAGGGTGGGAAGAAGCCGTGGTCACAACCGTAAGCAGTGGTGTTGGCAATCTGGACATTGAAGAGGCCTGCGGCGGCGGGCCCGTCATAGACAAGAACCTCCTGTACGATCAGGAATTCGGGGGCCCTTGTCGCTGAAGGGCCATATCGGGGGTTGAGGGCGAGCATGGCGGCCACGGCACAGACATCGGAGACAGGCGCGTCGGCGTTGCAGGCATGGGCGGGCACATGCCAGGCGAGGTCAGCATCAACCTTGAAGGTCAGCGAAGGTGCCGCAGTCACCAATTTTCCACAGCTGAGTAGCGTAGCTACCAATCTCGGCAACCTCACACTATCAGTCAATCGTAGCCAATGCTGGAGACCGTGGGGGTGGGGCAAAGATGATGTCGATAAGTCGACGTTGGCCGGGCTCAAAAGTGTCTTCGTGGTGGACGGCAAGACCTGATATGCAAGTCGCAGCGGGTGACGTCAAGAGCAGTCACGTGGTGTGCGACACTGAATCTCAACCGGCAGCGCCCTTGCAGCACTGACACGGCGTCACTGCAATGCTTTGAGTTTGATGATACTGGCATCGATGGATGGCATACCTAACGGCTCGTAATTGAGCCGACTGAGTGGGTAACTATTTGCCGAGGTGCAGGTCCAGGTCCAAGAGGCTGATTAATTACCACCGGAGATTTTGTTTGCTGGCGGCGCAACCATCTTCCGTTCCGTCATCGCGTGCTAGTGGTTCGCCAAGCTCGGCACGCCTTCCGCGTTGGGTTCAAGGTCAAACGCGGGGGTCGGGGAATTATGAATGCCGTTATCCTGGACACACTATGTCGATTATTCAGCCCATGACTGATGGTTGCGGCTGATAATTGCGGCTGATGGTTGCGGCTTGTGTCCGTCCGGCATTTGTCTCTCCTCATTGGCGCACTACGCAAACTCTGCTTGCCTGGGCTTGGTAAAGAGGATGAGAAAGTTTTCACACGATAGCGAGGGATGAACTCTATTTTCCTTATAAGAGTTCTGTCTGTTCCACATGGTCCTTGATACATCATTTTCATTCGCATTCTTCTGATTCACTTAAACGAGTTTCCTAAACCTCCACGCCTCACCACATCAAGTCACCCACCATGGCTTCACACAATAAGCCCACGGTCCTCATTACCGGGTATGTGTCAAAATAGAGAATTCACTCATTTGCTGTTGCATTATCTACTAGTCTTTCCTTCTTAATAGCCTACTGACGCGCGTGTCTAACAGAGCCTCCCAAGGCGGATCCGGCAACGCCCTGGCCCTCGAGTTTGCAAAGAAGGGCTACCGAGTCTTTGCGACGGCCCGTTCCCTGAGGACTCTTACTAATCTGACGGAGAACGGCATCGAGACCTTGACCCTCGATGTAACGGATTTCGAGAGTCTTGTAACCTTGAGAGATGAGATCGCGAACCGGACTGGCGGCAAGCTTGACATCCTCTTCAATAACGCCGGTACCCGTAAGTCGTATTCCTTGTAGCTATCGGTGGCCTGAGAGTTTTCTTGTGAACTGGGCTACTCCTGCTCCCGCGCTCCAGGAAGGAAATGCACTAATTGGCGCATTTAGTATACGAGGCACCGGCTATTGAGCAAGACCCTATTCGCGTTAAAAAGATGTTCGATACTAATGTGTTTGGCCTCTTCGACTCGGTTTCCGTCTTTACACCCCTACTTCTCAAGGCAGCAGCTAGCTCAAGCCGCGCACCGACTATCGTTAACGTGGCGTCTATCCTCGCCCGTATCCCTATGCCATTTACGGCTGCTTATAATGCTACAAAAGCCGCTGTGGCTAGCTATTCGGATACGTTGAGGTTAGAGCTCGAACCCCTCGGCATTCGCGTCGTGACGCTCTACATGGGCGAGGTGTCGACTGGTCTCATGTTGACCGACAACATCAACTTCGGCCCCGAGAGTATTTATGCCGACCTGGAGGCCAAGGTCAAGGAGCGCACCGCAAATCACGCCAAGACCTCTGTCACCCCGCAAGAGTTCGCTGCTAGCGTCGTCCCTCAGGTCGTCGGCAGTAACTCAAACTACATCTGGAAGGGTACTAACGCCTTTCTATGCTGGTTCCTCAACGCCTTCGCGCCCCATAAGTCGTTTGATAGTTCTATAAAGGGCACTGTCGGCCTTAGCGATAAGGAAATTGTGAGCAAAATCCTCGAACGAGGCCAGAAGCTGGTCTCAAAAGAGTGACAAGTCTTGCTGAGCATTTTTTCTCTTGTTCGTCCTTGCCAGACTAGATTGAAGGAGTCGGCTTCATCCACGCAGGCGAGTCTTGGTCATGTTTATCTGTTCCGGCGATGAGGAACGAGGCGGTGTACGATTTGCTAGGATGTAGTCAATGAAGAAAGAATATAGACAACTGCTTCGTCAATGCTGGCGTCTGAAGTACGTAGTAGTGTTTTGAATCAGAAGACTTGTGTGGGATGTTAGTGCATTCGCATCAAGAGAGGTAGCCTCTCGGGTCACACGCCGATTCAAACGCGTCGCCGGATCGAGGCTTCCAGGGTTATGACCCGCGTCTTCGAAAGCCAGCGATGAAATGGGCGCCCTACGTGTTGATAAGCCACGTCGTGGATCAGAATCGGCGCCACAGTGATCCAGGATCACCAAGTGACACGTAGTACGCCACTCCGACATGGTGGCGCCACTGAGCAACAAGGCTAGGGCACACGAGTATACGAGGATGGAACATCCTTGTACTAGCTGATCAATCTAAATTCTACCTTGCATCCATTATAAAGAGTAGTGTCTTGCCACAAGACCCCTTCAGAGTCATAACGTGTGGTTTGACATGTGTTGTCGCTTAGTATGTCCCCCTGCACATGGAGATTCCAGGGTTATCCTCAAATGAGGGGTTCATGAACTCTCATTTCACCTTCCCTTTAAAGAGGTCGCCGTTGCGACCGCCAGACAGAATCAATCGTCTCCATCGCGAAGGATTTGCTCTGCAGATTCCCTTGTATCTCTAAGAATACTATCAGTTTTAATCCTTCCAATCGACAATGCTGGACTTGAAGCTGTGTACGGCGCAGCAGTCTGCCGGAGGAAGAAATGCGCGCGCCTGCAGCGCACATACTGTTTACTAGACATCCGGCTCATGCGACCCACTCCGGACGGGATGAGAATGAGGAAGTTGAGCGTGCAGACGGACCGAGCATCCAACCCCGAAACGCATCAAGGGTTTGCCAATGTCGATACAGTGATACTTGACGAGTTCGGCTCTCGCGCGCAGGACGCCTATAAACGCAGCTGCCACAACGTTGATATGGTTGAGAAGACGAGTCATCCAGCCTCCTCATCTCGACTTGCGCCTCGACACCACCGCTACCCATTCCAACATCAACATCGACCATACGCACCCCTTCAACCATGTTTGCCCATGCACTCTTGGCGTTGACTCTCGGGGCTTCGTCTTTTGCGACAGCTTCGGCACTACCACCCCAGGTGCCGGACGGAGATGTTGTCCCCCTCCCAGCCTCTGTGGATGTGAACAGCGTCGACCTCCACAACTTCACCGCTTCAGACGGAAACACGTACACCGTCTGGGTTGCCAAGATGCAGAGCCCGGAGGACGTTCAGCCTACTGGTGCAAATGACGACAGCAACCTTGTCCGTCGCTGGCAGTGGGAGCATTGGCCCAACGGTGTTGACGCCTGCGGTGCTGCAAGCTTTCGAGACGAGACGTCAAACGGACCGCCGCTGACGGACCACTGCATCTGTGTGCGGGACTACGCAAGAGACCAGCTCCGAGGTAGATGGGCTTTCGGCCGTGACGACAAGCCAAACAATGGCTGGTTTAACTTGGTCGGTTGCGGAGAATGTGGCTTCCGCGTGTACACGGATAACTTCTTTGGAGCCTTTGTCGGCGACACCGATGTCAGGGACCTCTCTACCGATTCGATCAATAGATATAACAGAGGTGGAAGGGTTGTGCGGGTGGGGACATGGGTTGCCGCAACTGGGCAGAGCTCGCCAAGGTTCATTGGAGTGTCTTCCGCCAAATAGAGCGCCGGCATCTTCATGGTTTCTCGGACTGCGTTGACTAGCCAGACAGGCCTTTGCTCGCCCAACTTCAATGCATTCGTCTCTGATCTCGTGCTCTAATCATGTCTCTTGTGAACATTGGAAATGCCGCGTGACACTCGGGATCCCTACCTTTGATGGATAACAGGAGTGAGTCACTGACACTGTGCAGGACACCACCAAGGCAATGTTGCCTACTCCATATCCATCCTCAGGAGCTCTTCTCGCAAAAGGTGGATGGTGCTGCGTGTTGCCGTACGGCTTTGCACCGAGGCCTCCAAGTCCACCTTCGTAACCTGCCATTCATGCCGTCTCGTATCGACTCTTCTTCCGAATGATGTGCCCCCATTTGAACAAGACCCACGGAACCGGAGCGAGGGCCAGGGAGACAAATGCGAGCAAGCTGGCAGCCCAAGGGATACCCAGCGAGCGATACACTACACACGGTCAGCCAAGAACATGCATTTTGCTGCCTGTACGTACTCTGGACCGTGAACAACGGCAGAACCCCTGCCAGGGTGTAGCGGGCAAACCCGTTGGCACTTGCTCCGCTGGCCACGTTTGCGCCGGTATACGTGTCGACGGTGTATTGAATGGTCGACACGAAAATGCAAAGATTGCCCCATGCAAAGATGATAATGGCAAAGGCGGGCACGGCCCAGCTTATGTCGTCCCGGGCGGTCCATCCAAACATGAACAAGCTGATGGGCAGGCCGATTGAGCCAAACATGGCCGGGATCAGGCGATATTCGGGGGGCACCCGCTCAGGATGCAGCTGCTTTGCCCGAGGAAGATAGGATACGACAGTGAGCACGATGATGGTAACTGCGCCGAGCAAGCAGCCAATGACAATGGAGATGAAGACGAGCCCGGACTGCTCAATTGAGAACCCATGCACCCTCCTGAAGACATAGGGCACACCTGCGAAGAAGGCGAAAAGTGTGGCAAACTCGCAAGCGACGTAGAGCGCGACAAAGGTGATGATGGGCTCCGTGAACAGCATGTGCAGAGGCCGCACCAGAGCTATGCGTAGAAACATGAGAATATGGCTGCCGAGGGGTGTCTTGTCCCCTGTTGGATGGCCAAGCCTCTTGGCCCGGCGTCGTTCGAGAATAGGACGATAGGTCTCTTTGCCTGCCAGAGAGACCAGCAGCGAAGCAGTGGCGAAGAATACCAAGGTCCACTGGGTCCAGCGCCATCCCTTGCGCACGACTACGAATGAACCGATGACGGGTCTTTCACGTCAGCTATTGGGGACAAATGATGGTGGCTGGCAGACGTACCCAAAGCCAGGGCCCAGAAACGGCATCAGGATGAAGAGCGTCGACGGCAGCCCGCGTTGGGCCGGGTGGAACATGTCGCTGATTGTACCGGCGCCCACTGCCAAGCTCGGAGAAAAGGAAAAGCCGGCCATGAATCGGAGGAAACACAGGGCGCCAAAGTTATGCGTCAGGCCTGCGCCGACGGTGAAGAGGGCACCGAAGAACATGCTCCCGGCGTAGATTGGATGTCGTCCAACGGTCTCCGACAAAGGGCCGCCGAGGACCGGTCCAAGTCCGAGTGCAAAGACGTACATGGAGAGTGGAAGAATGGATTGCATGACGTTGACTCCAAACTCTTCCTGGTACTGATAGGTGGCTGAGCTGGGAAGCGACGTACCGACGGAGCTACATGGTACAAATGTCAGCGGCTGCATGGTTTTGAGGGCCATGTTCTTACGCTGTGAATGCTGATATTGAGGCGATGAACGTGTTCTTGAACTTCTCGCGCGACGGCCAATTCAAGGGGTTTTGCGAGTCCTGCTCCCAGGTCTCCGGCGGCGGCGAGGCGACATCTTTTTCCGTGTTGTTCGGCTCATCCATGCTTCGTCGGGTGGTGGGCGTATGGCGCTGAAGGCGTAGAGGCATCCATAGTAGGGGATAAGCAGAAGATATGGCTTGAAGACATGGCCATTGATGTTTTGGACGTCGGCAACCTGGCAGCCCGATTACTGACCTGATGGTGCAATTACAGACCTGGCGGCCCCGATTACTGAACACCGAGGAAGCATTTCGGTTGTTCAGTAATCGGACGGAGCAGCACGTGACCAGACAGCCAAGAGCATTGGCCATGGGTCATGCTGCCTTTACACTTATCTACCTAACTTATTATTGTTGGTGGTATTCACTTGGGGCTTCCAGTGGCATTCACCTGATGCCAGGTGGCCTGTGCCTGGCACCTCCCATAGCTTAGTTCCAGGCACCCTCCTGCCCTAGAGAATAGCTTCCCAAAAATACACACCTTTCTTCTCAGACCCTTGACCTCCAACAGGTCGATTTGGGTGTAGAGCTGAGGACGAGCCATTGTGGCTTGATATCGTCGAGCAGTTGGGCCGTTTTGGCAGGAATGACGTTTGTCGTGAAGGAGTGGTTTAAGGTAGAGTTTTCCACCAAACCTTGCTCAAAATGAACGATAGTAATACCATTGAATAGAGGAAATGAAGCTGTTGATAACGATATAAAAATCGTGATATCAACGATACTGCGCGGTGCGCAAAAGGGCGCATAACCTGTTGGAGGTCAAGGGTCTGAGAAGAAAGGTGTGTATTTTTGGGAAGCTATTCTCTAGGGCAGGAGGGTGCCTGGAACTACCTAAGCTATGGGAGGTGCCAGGGCACAGGCCACCTGGCATCAGGTGAATGCCACTGGAAGCCCCAAGTGAATACCACCAACAATTATAAGCAAGCCAGGACATCATCGAAAATCGCCGAAGTGCCTGCCAGCCCCACAGGACCGCACGTGCCATAAAAGATACCTGACAGGGGTCTGGAAACTTTGGCCTGCAACTGCGTGGCATGTGCTGTGAATGCAAGGCTGGATTCCTGGGGTAAACTTCTACCTAGGTATATGGGGCCTGCAGACTAGTATAACTACCTTTCTGTCACGTCTGCGTTTTTAACATCACCCACTTGCCAGGTGTCTACCTTGACTAGATACCTAGGTAGTAGCACGCAATGTCTAAGACTCTACCTGAGACTCTGACTGGCCTTAGCTGAGAAGGCACTACTCAATGGACCCGCTGAAACCCCGCAGGTGGTCCTCCTGGTGCTCTCAAAGTTAACAAAACCGTCAACCTCAGTTTCAAAACCATGACGATTTCGCAAAACAGTGTTAAACATTTGGAATACGAAATGTGCTGCTTAGCTTTGGCCATGGGTAGGTCTGTGGGCGGAAAGCGTGAAGATGCAAAGACAGCGCGTTGTGCAAGCGCCCCTCCCTTTCATGCTTCTCAGATACCTTTGCGCACTTTGCAGAGATCGTAACTTTTGCTGGTGATGTGTTCTGTCTGAAACCAGGCGATGCAGACGCTGGCATTCAACTATTATGTAGAAAGCTTCGGCTCTGGAGTCTACTCCGAAGACGCTGCCCCCGCCTGACCCTCGAGCACCAGAACACCGCCAGCAGCCGTTGTCGAACCCCGGCCCCTCTGCGAAGCGACCATCATGCGATGCCACGGCATTCACACTCGCTTCAAGGAAACTCCTTACCTGCGGTCGCCGATCGGCTAGGATGATCGTATGATCTCGCCCAACACCTCGTTGACGAGGGGGGCCGGGGCGCTGCGGGGGTGCTCGAGTCTGGTCGGCTATTGAGAAGGGTTTGCCAGCGTGACCTGCGACTGTCCTACTCATACGCTGACGAATCTGACAAAAGCCCAAGCCGTGGCTTCCGAATATTTGTCTTCGTTCTCGATCATAAACGGTGTTCAACGCAGCGATCAGTGGGCCGAAAAGAATGACCTTGGATGCCATTTGGACCGCTGGATGACATTTTTTCCCTTTCGGGCGCCTCAATCCACAAACATTTAAAGATGCGGGGGGCGTCACCTGGTCCACTCATGATCCTCATTTTGAGCTAACCCTGATTCAAGCTAGATGATAATCTAACGTAAGGGACCTCATGGAAGTTTGGTTGCTTCCACGGCGGCACTTGTAATGCACTCAGGGTCTGGGTTTCGACGTAGACTTCTGTTCAACATCAATCTGCTTGGTCATCCGGCTGTAAATTATCATATTCACGGCCAAAATGGCAGCAGACGCGGTGCAGCAAAGCGACAAGGGTTCAAGAGAGTGAGAGTCAGAGTCATTGCGTCGAGGTAGTCAGAGAAGAGTCGATATGACCAACAACGCCAGGACCTCACTCATCGGCTGAATATATAAGGGCATGCTTCGTCTGTCTGTTTCCAACTTGCACTTCCCATCTCATACGGCTTTGTCTTCAAGGCATTCTCCAGCACTCTCTCTTGTAACCATCAGCATCAGTTGCTTCGCTACCGAGTCATGCGGTTTCTAAACCTCAAGGAGGCGCCTCGTAGCCTCGGCAGCATCCTGCTTGTCGCCAGCACCATCTTTGCCAATCCGGCAGCCGCCAACTCGGTTGACACGTACGACTATGTGGTCGTCGGCTCCGGTCCTGGAGGCGGTCCCTTGGCCGCCAATCTCGCCCGAGCTGGCTTTAAGACTCTGTTGCTTGAGGCTGGCGATGACGCCAGTACTTCCGAGATTACCAACGCCATTGCATTGACGAACACTGCGGACACCACTGCCTTGACATGGACCTACTGGGTTCGTCATTACGACGACATCGAACTGACGAAGAAGAACCAGCATCTCACCTGGAGGCTTCCCAACGGGAACCTCTGGGTTGGTCCTGGTAGCACTGCGCCTCTGGGAGCAGAGATTGTCGGCATTCAGTACCCCCGTGGCGCTACACTAGGAGGATCATCCATTGTCAACTCTGCCTTGACTGTACAGCCTGCCAACAGCGACTGGAATTATATCAAGGATCTCACAGGCGATGACTCGTGGAGGTAAGCTGCTCCCGCCTCTTGTTGTCTGTTCGGAACACATCAGCTAATGCATCAAAACTAGCGCCGCTCATATGGGAGACTTGTTTATTAAGCTGGAAAGGAACCAATACCTCCCTCGTGGTACCCCAGGCCACGGCTTCGATGGCTACTTTGAAACCATTCTGGGCAACGGGACCGTTTTGCTTTCTTCGCCGCAGGCGACTGCGGCCCTAAAGGCCATGGCCGAAGAAGCAGGCCAGGATCCCGAAGACCTGAAGAACATCCTGAACATCGACCCCAACCAAACTCTGAACCCTGACCGGGATCAGATCACTGGTCTCGTGGGAAACCCGCAGCATGCCAATGCTACCTGGGCGCGCTACAGCTCGAGAAACCGAGTGCTGGATACCGTGCGGGCAGTTAACAAGCACGGCAAGAAGCGATTTCCTCTGGAAGTCCGTCTCAACTCCTTTGCGACCAAGGTGCTCTTCAACAAGGCCCGAGGAAACTCGCTGCCTCGTGCCGTAGGTGTCGAGTACCTCGACGGCAAGAGCGCCTTCCAGGGTGACCTTCGGTACGATCCCAAGGTCAAGAAGACGGTGCGCCAGGTCTTTGCTCGCAAGGAGGTGATTATTAGTGGCGGCTCATTCGGATCGCCTCAACTGTTGCTCCTCAGCGGCGTCGGACCGGCTGCCGATCTCAAGGCCCTGAACATCCCAGTCGTCGCCGATCGACCAGGCGTCGGTCGCAACATGCAAGACCACAACGAGATTGCCCTCATTGGACACGGTGCCCAGGCATTCAACTTTGACGCCGCCCCTGGCGGTCCTCGGTCTCAGTGCACCTTCGGAGCTCCTGGCGACCCCTGTCTTGAGCTTTATCACCAGGGCCAGGGACCGTATGTTCAGCCCAGCCTGACCCAGCTGGCTTTCCTTAAGACCAACCACACCCCCAACGACGAACGCGACATTGCCATCTTCACCGGACCCTTTGGTTTCCGTGGCTTCTGGCCTAGGAACACGGGACAGAACTGGGACGACCCTCCGACGACCTGGGGCATGAACAGCGTCCACATCCACGGCAACAGCACGGCTGGATACCTCAAGCTGCGTTCTGCCGACCCGACTGTGACGCCTGAGATTAACTTCCGACACTTCAATGGCACAGGCGCCGACAACGACATTGCCGCCATCAAGGAGTTCCTTGCTTGGGGTCGCCGTGCTTTCAGCCGTGTGCAAGCGCCATTTGCTCCGTACAATATCACCTGGCCTCCCTGCTCAGGCACTGTTGGTGCCGATGGAAGCTGCTCCGTGGCTAACAGCGACGAAGACTTCATTCGCGAGAATATTTTCGGTCACCACGTGATCGGTACCTGCCCCATCGGCCCCAAGTCTGACAAGAATGCTGTTCTGGACTCCAAGTTCCGTGTCCGCGGTGTGTCCAGTCTGCGGGTTGTCGATGCCAGTGCTTTCCCGAGGTCTCCTGGAGCGTTCCCGGTCCTTGGAACTTACATGTTGAGTGAGAAGGCAGCAGAGGATATCATTGGGGGTCGTTAAATGTATTCAACTTGCGCTGTCCACTGCTACTGCGCCAGAGTCCCTCCTACGACTATTTCGGTTTTGGGGTATGCAAAGAATAGGGAGCTGTGTATAGCAGTGGATTTAGATACTTAAATCCGAGCACGGGCTTGAGCATTTTGTCTTATCCGAGGCCTCAAGCATGTGTGTGTTCCCCGCAATGCTAATGATGATCGACCCGTCCCTGCGGCGTGTGATCTGTTGGCTTATGCTATTGGTAAGTGTCGTAAGCTGTGTGTCCGTGGCGTGAATGAGAACGGGGTGTCAGTGCCCTCCGGCTACGACGCGTCCTTGCCCGACCACACGTGGTTTGGTTTTCTCAGGGTACAGTGTCAATCAACGGAACGGGCAAAGGAGTCTTGGCAAGTCCGAGCTCTATTATAGTCTGTCGTCAAGGTCGAGCATTCTATTTCATAAGCTTGAAATCAGTATAAGTAAGACAGCGACGGAGGCGAAGTCCGACACACGGGCCCCATCCGCTTCTGGCCAGAAACCAGCGTTTCTGGCCATTATTGCTCGATGCAGAGCACCAAGAACCTCTGGATCGCTTGACTTGTCTTATCGGTCGCTTCTCAGGCCTTCCAGAACAACGACACAAAGACAGATGAGTACATTGCCATGGGCTTGGGTCCTGGTCAAGGGCCGCTGGCTGCGAACCTCGCTCGCAGCGGCCACCCAGTCTTGCTTGTCGACGCAGGTGACGACCAGTTCGCAACGAAAACTCCTACATGGTGTGCAATAACACACCTGCTTTCAACGACCCCCTTACGAGGTGGGACTTTTCCGTCTCTCGAGACACGCCTGAGGTCGACTCTCAGTACGAGTTCACAACCTGGCAGCAGACCAACAGCGAGCTTTCCGTGGGCATGGAACCTCCCAAAGGTGCCAAGCGTCTTGGTATCTACTATCCACGTGCGGGACCCATTGGCGATTGCACCATGCACAATTCCGCCTCCCTTGCGTTACCAGCCGACACCGATTAGGAAGACATTGCTGCACCTACTGGCGATGATGGCTGGTCCGTCGAAAACATGCGGAAGCATTTCGTCCGACTCGAGAGGTGCAACTACATTCGCAATGGCAGCGATCCATCCCACGGGTTCACCGGGTATCTCGACACCTCCCAAGCTCGATATGATTGGGCCCTTAATCGGTGCGACCTAACCACTCTTGCTGGCTGGCTACTTTTCGGATTCCTTGGGAGGAGCGGATACCAGGGAATCGCTACATCAGCTGCTTGGACGAGACATCAACGCCAACGATCCGTATCGAGACGAATTTGTTGGTGTCATTACTCCCCATCCGCATTCAAGGAACGGCATGAGGTCTAGTCCACTCAACTACATCCGTGCTACGCTAGAGGACGCCGGGAGCCCCATGCTCTTCGTCTCAGACTCCGATCCGCAGATACGCTCGAAGCTGCCCGGGCGCTTGTCGACGCAGAGGCCTCTGTCCGCGTGGCGGTCCTCAACATGGCCTCTCCGCTACACCCTGGCGGTGGGTTCCTGAATGGCGCCAGCAGCCAGGAGGAGTCGCTGTGCATGCGCACCACGCTGTTGCCGTCGCTGAAAGACGAGTATTACCGGCTGCCCGAACTTGGGGCCATCTATACACCCGATGTCATGGTGTTTCGGGATGCCAACGGCGGTGATGAAGTACTCGAGAAGCGCAACCGCTGGTTCGTAGACTGCATCACGGCAGCCATGCTGCGGAACCCTGAGGTTGAGCGGGACGACGAAAAGGGCTGGGGACGATACGTCAATGCCAAGGACCGGGAATTGGCAGTGTCCAAGATGCGAATGGTCATGCGCATTTGCCAGGACAAGGGCGTCAAGAAGATTGTCCTCGGCGCGTGGGGATGCGGTGCATACGGAAATCCGGTTGGCGAGGTGGCCGCGGCATGGCGCAAGGTGTTGTTGCCCCGAACTGACTCCAAGGGTAGAAGGGCTGTGGAGATGTGGAACGGCATTGAGGAATGCGTGTTTGCGATCAAGGATTTAGGTATGGCGGATGCCTTTGCTGCGGCGTTTGGAGATGGGCTGGAGCGGGAGGCCGTGGATGAGGCAAATAAAGATGACGAAGATGACGACGAGGACGATGAGGACGACGAGACTGCTGAACTCGGAGCAAAAGTTGTTGAGCTCAGGGCGCGTATTCGCAATGCGAACCCTGCGATTGGCAGGGCTCTCCAGCCAGTACTCGCGGGGCTGATCGTACAGTTACCAGAGGGACACCCAGAAAGGTCGAGCGTGTGATAATCTAGGTCACCAGATTCTTCGCCACAGCACCTTCATGTCACGGTCCGGTGGAACGCTGGCGGCGCCGACGTAGCTTGGATCTCCTAGCGCTTCCCTGTCCGAGGGGGACCCGTCCAAATGCGTCCATTCGGTGAATTCAACGTCGAAGCGGCTGACGAGCAGAGCGATCGTGAACATGATTTCCTGCTTGGCAAAGTGTCGACCGGCACACATGGAAACGCCGCCGCCTAGGCTGTCAGCGTGGCAAACAAGCAATCGCAAGCGGACAGACACCTACCGTAGGGGAAGAACTCGCTTGACTTGGCAGTGAACACAAACTCCTCATGTCCTTGGTCATTGGTTCTGATATGACGCCCCGGCCAGAACTCGGTTGCGGGGTGTCCGTCGCGTGCCCAAACACCTTCGTCCAGCCCCGCGAGGCTTGTGGGCGCCTGCACCATGCGCCCACGCGGAAGTTCATAGCCGCAGATTGTTGTCTTTTGGACAACTTCACGCGTAATGCTGATAAGGACATGGAGGCGCATGCATTCGAGGTAGATGGCCTGGAGGAGAGGCAACTTGGCGAGCTTGAGTATGTCGATGTACTTCTTCCCGTCGTTGTCCTTGACGATTACTGAATCTGCCTCCTTCCGCGCGGCTGCAAAGAGCTCTGGATCTTTCACGAGCTCAAAGATGGCCCAAATGGTGATGGGAATCGAATTCGAATTGAGACCAAACAGCACCAAGAGTGTGTTGGCAGCAAGACCTTGTTCGGAAAGGCCCGCTGACTGGCCAAAAGCCGTGATAGCGCGGTGGTATCGGCTGCCCATGACCGGTTCCCAGTCAGGGTCTTCACAGCTGCCATCGGGACGTACAATCTTGGAGCCGTCGAGTTCCGTCTTGGCAAGAGCGCGTCGAAGATGGTGCTTGAGGAGGCCGTTGGTCTCGTCTCTAATCCGGGCAGGCCGCGGATCCCACCAAGCGGGTGTCCCGTACATGAGGCTGAGTGCCACGCTGTCGAAAGCCCAAAACTTTTCCACCAGGTCTGGGTTCGTCTCGACAATTTCCGTGCCGGTCACTGCTCTGGTGGCCGCCAAGGCCATTTCGCGCTTGATAAAGTCGATGAGGCGAACGCTTTCCCAGCGCCCGATCGTAGGTATCGCCTCTTCGATTCCCTGATCGAAGAACTTTCCATACCATCGCATCAAACCGATCGTGGGTGTTGTTTGCCCGAGCAGAGAGTGGACAACCTGAGTTTGCCGGTGCCAGACCCTCTGCACAGCAGGAAAGTCCTCCCAGCCTTTCCTCGGCGTGCTCCCGCGAGCTGATCCGTCTCTGCGATAGATGGCAATGTCATTCTTTGTCATTCCCATGACGTGTTCGAATATTTGGAGGAGAAACTTGTCCGGCGACAGCACGTCGGCGTTGCGGAAGAGAGGCTGCACAGCAGCGGGCCCACGCACGAGGGTGATGGGCATTAGACCGACGAAGAAAGTGGCGACGCTCGTTGACGTGAGATTGAGAAACAGCGAGACACGGTCGAGGAAGCCTGCAGGATCGGTCATGAAGGCGATGGCGTTGGAAACGAATGGGACGCGCTCTGGGATGCGGGGTGGTCCGCCTCTGCTCGGTCGAAGTGCCAGAGCCAGGACGACAATGGCAGCAAGGATTGTCCATCGTTGGGTCAGGATGTCGACGGCGAGTGTTGCGAAGATGCGCATACTGTCCGAGGCCATGGCTAGCGGCGGTTATGTGTGGTAAAGTTGTCGAACCGTACTCGAAGACGGCTTTGTCAAAGACGGCTGGAAGAAAAGATTCAGAGGGCCGGTCAAGACCTGGATGGGAAACACATGGGTGATGCCCACATTTCTGGTTCCCTCACCGATGGTGCAGCTTGCATGGAGCTACGCCCAAAGGAGGTCCTGCAGGTCGCGTCCAGCGAATCACTTCGTTTGTAGGCATCGCGTCTCCCAGCGAGGGGGAACTTGATGGATTACGGCGTAAGGTAAGGTACCTAGACTGGATGGGTTAACGTCCAGGATGGCTGTCTGTTGGTGGTGAGGACGGAGCAATGCGAGGGGTGTGAGAGTGGTCACGGCAGGAGCGTCTGTCATGGGGCCAGCAGATGGAACGCACCCTGCGCGAAGCTAATTTACTGGAGCAGCAAGTTACGCAGCAGAAAACTCAACTCAAAGCAATGATACGCAGTAGTGTCTATGTATTCGCCGAGCGTTCAGTACCTGTGCAATGACGGTAACCGGAGACATGGCCGGTCCCAGAGGCATGTTCACCGCGACAGAGGAGATCTCTTTGATATTCGACAGAAAATTGAATTCATAGGCAGTCTTCATTGTACCACCAGTTTATAAACGAATCAATCAAGAGCAACAAGGGCTGAACCAATACAGCGCTAATCTGCACCGCTCTTTACCCCCCAACATGTGCTGTCTAGACCCGTGACCCATCATCTGAGGCGGTACCATTTTGCTATATTCATCAGTCAGCAGTGCTTGACAAGATTCTTGAGACATCCTCTCACATTTCTTAGCCGCCTGTGGTTGAAGCTCTTCTTTATGTCTGTCAATGGTATCTGCAGACTCGAAGGACGGGCGCGGTTGTTCTCGTGCTGCGGGTTCGACTTGCTGCGGCTTGGATGCGCTGGAAACAGTGACTGGCAGGGTAAAGCCAAAGCCATAAATGGCAGCAGCTCCTACGGGCAGGCTGGCTGTTGAGATTTGTTGAGACGGCTTCTTGCTGGTCTTCTTATAGACCGGGGGAGGGGGGTAGCGGGAGGCCATCGTGAAAGATGAAGTAGAAGGTGATGATAGTTGTCCAGGTGAGTTTGGTCTGGACGAGAGCCTGCAAATATGGAAACAAAAGGCCGATTTATACTTTCCACGACGAAGTTACGTCCCTCTCAGATATTTCACTTACAAATCGTGAACATATCTGAAAGGTGACGATGCTCGCTCAGCAGGGCCTAATTCTCCGAGGCTTCTCCATGCCGCCGCCCAATCTAACTCGCCCAAAACGCCCAAAGAGGTCAAATCGAGACCAGGGCGGCCATTACGGAGTTTTGCGCGCTACATCCGTGGCTCAACATCGGCTGTACTGGCGAATCAACAGTCGGTTTGGACTGACTCTGCGGGGTCGCTGGCCAGCCCGCCAGGCCGGTCCCCGATGTCACAGGTTCGACGACCGTCGTCGAAGTCTTGAGCCGGTTCGTCGGTCCGCATATGCTGCCATGATCAAGAAAACCATCCAATATTTCGAGTATCCGGGGAATCACCGACGCCTCGTGCATGAGAGCGGAGTTGCCATAAGAGGAAGGCGGCTGGGCGTCTCCCTTGAGACTCATGACCTCTATTTATACCGACCTGGCTGACGCTCGTTTCAACAGCAGCTCTTCACCATCAAAATGACTTCGCACGAGTCCCTTACGTGGCGCCAGGCCTCGCCGGGCATCTGGCAGCGCGGCACTGACGAGATTGAGGAGTTTTACTCGACCATGGCCGTCTTGTACGAGGGCAGCGGCCGCATGTTCTTTGGCATCACGGGATTCCTGTCCCTGTCAGTCGATGTTGCCGCCAGCCAGGACCCGGCTGCTGCCAGTGAAGGTGTGAGGAACGCGCTGCAGAAGGGTTGGCTTGCCTTGCGATACCACCACCCAACGTTGGCTTCGCAGGTCACCAGGGATGACCAGGGCAAGTGGACCAAGACGTATCGCGGGTGCGCTGATGAGCAGGACCAAAATCGATGGCTCCAACAGACCTTTGTGACCGTAGCGAACGGACAGACTGGTCTCGAATGGGCCAACTCTGACCCTCCGGCGCCTCAGCTACCGACTTTGTTTGTTATTGGGCCACGCGAGGCGCAAGAGCAGACCGTCCGCTACGACCTCGTCTTTCGCTCCCCCCACGATATCATTGACGGCATCGGCACACTCATGATGCTCAACAATCTGATAGGCCACGCATCTGAGGCCTACGCACAAGGTGCGAGCTACCGAACGCCCGCCTTGGATGGCTCCGAAGCCGCGAACCTGAGTCCCCCTTACCGCATCGCCGCCAATGTCCCCGCGCAACTGTCGGAGGCCCAGAAAGAGCGACTCCAGACAGTCACTGCGCAAAAGGCCCAGGTTCGCGCAGATACCAGCGTCGAGATTCTCGCTCTGCCCTTCAGGGAGGGAGCTCAGGTCCCTGGCGTGCACAAGAGAACCGCCCTGACGCTGTCCGTCGGCGAGACAGCTCGCCTCTTGGCGGCTTGCAAAGCCGCCGGTGTCACGCCCACGCACGTCTTCCATGCTGCCGCGGCCGTGGTCGACCGTGACCTGCAGCCCGTGTCTGAGGCGCCGAGGCGCGTCCGCTACATCAACTACATCCTCCGCAACGAGCGCGCCGGCTGCGCTGAGCCGTTTGGCACCAGCAAGCACCCTGCGGCTCTGTACCACTCTGTTTCGGGCCAGAGCCTCGTTGTTGATATGGATATCACGCCCGGCAAAGCCGATGCCACGACGTGCAAAGAAGAGTTCCATTCCATCGTGCGTCACATGAGCGCCTTTTACAACGAGGTTCGCAACGACAGCGAACATGCCGCGTTGGTGCCGGACCTCTGGGCCATGGGAACGCCAGAGCTGCCCCTGGCGCCTCGGCCGCTGCCGGTACCCGCCCCCAACAGCCACCCGTCCGTGTCCATTTCCAGCATGGGCCGCGTCGACACGATCGTATCGCCCAGGACGGGCGCCTTTGACGTGCTCGATGCCTGGGTCACCGGTGAGGAGCTCGGAACAGGGCTAGGCATATTCCTGGGTTCGTTCAAGGGACGCTTGTGCGTGAGTGCTGCGTACAACGACGCATGGCACGACGAGGCCGGCGTGTCAGACTTTCTGCAGCGCGCCAAGGATGTCGTGTGGGCGGGGATGGATCTGGGAGTGTAGACAACTGAAAGCCCCTCAGTACATAGCATCTAGTCACTCAAGTCCGCTCGCAGCACGTTCAATGACAAGCTTTATTTTCTCCTTTAGTCCTGTCGCGCAGGATCCAGCTCAATCTTGCCGAAAGCCTCATCAATCTCGGCCATGACATCGGGCGTCAACTTGTCCAGAGACTGCAGAGCCTTGCAGTTGGCGACGACCTGCTCTGGCCGGGAGGCGCCCGTGATGACGGAGGAGACGTTGGGGTTCTTGAGGCACCAGGCAAGGGCGAGCTCGGCCTGCGGAATGCCGAGCTTGTCGGCAATGGGCTGATCCGTTAGCGCAAGTCGCCGGTCAAGAGTGGTGAAGAACATACCTTGAGCTTCTGCACCTTGGCGATGTCATCCTGCCAGGCCTTGTCGCCGTAGGCGTCGCGTACGGAGCTGACAAACTTGTCGTCGCCCTTGGCAAAACGGCTGCCGGCCGGAGGGCTGTCGGGCGAGTCGTTGTACTTGCCGCTGAGGAGGCCAAACTTGAGAGGGCTAAAGGTCGTCAGGCCAATGCCGAAACGGCTGTAGAGACGCTGGAATTCGCCCTCGACCTTTTGCCTGTGCAAGAGGTTGTAAAAGGGCTGCTCGACGATGGGGCCGATGAGACCCAGCTGCTTGGCGATACCGCTGGCCTCGGCAATCTCGTCGGCGCTCCACTCGCTCGTCCCCCAGTACATGGCCCAACCCTTGACTTCAATGACGTGGTTGAAGGCGCGCACCGTCTCCTCCATGGGCGTTAGGCGATCGGGCCTGTGGGCGTAGACGACGTCGACGTACTCGAGGTCGAGGCGCTTCAGAGACGCGCGCAGGCCCTCGATAATGTGCTTGCGGCTGAGGCCGTGGTTGTTGACGAGCACCTCGCCGTTGGCGCCGCCCCAGTTGAGCTTGGTCGTCACGACAATGTCGTTACGGTTCCAGCCAAACTTCTTGAAAGCCTTGCCCATGACAACCTCGGACTGTCCGCCGGCGTAGCTCTCGGCTGTGTCGAAGAAGTTGATGCCGCAGTCGTACGCCTGCTTCATGCACTCAAACGTCGTCTCGTCACCGTTCTGGCCGCCAAAGGTGAGCCAGCTGCCGAGGCCCAACGCCGAGACGTGAAGTCCCGAGTTGCCCAGCCGGCGATAGACCATGCCCGTGTTACGCGGTTCTTGCCAGGCCATTGTTGCGTCGTGTGGTGTAAAGGATAATGTGCAAAGTTGCGACGTGGGGGAGGACGAACTCGGTGAAGCACAGCAGCCTGCCCGCTTTAGTCCCCCCCCCCCCCCAATGTTCGGAGAAATTGTCGGAAGAATCGGAAAACTGGCGCGCTAATCGAAAGCCCGCCGCCGCATGAGTCAACCACTCACTCTCAGGACTGCCCCAGATCGAGCAACCAAGGATCGCCCGTCATCATGTCGACGCTGTTGTTTCCGGACAGACTCTCCATGGAGGCCTCACTCGTGGGTGGCTCCGATTCGAGCTGGGCCAAGAGGTCGAGCGATTGCGAAAACCAGCCACCGGTGCCGCCAGGGCTCATGCCTTCTGCTTCACCCTGTATCTGCTGGCCTCTGGTGCCGTCGGCGTGCTGCTGCTGCTCGAGTTCGGCGGCGGCCACGAGGGATAGCCAAGGCGACGCGGGGAACGGCCAGCCGAGAGGTTGCATCTGCGTCATGGCGGCCTGGTCATGGTAGGCCTGCACATCGAACGCCTGCTCGGGAGTTCCGTTTGCGTGATTCCAGGACGAGATGCCGCCGTCGAGGATCTCGTCGACGCGTTGGTGAGGGACCATGGTAGGACCGAGGCTGAAGAGCGCTGCTGGCTGGGCTTCGGCCTGGGCGATGCGCGCTCCGAGAAGACGCAGCAGGCTGTTGTTCCCGCCGCGCGTCGAGGCGAGTAGCGTCTGCAGACGCGCGAGAATGTCGCTGGGGCGGACGTCCATCGGCAGCGCGTTCGACTGGCTGAGGTGGCTGGCAATGACATCGGCGACGGCGCTCGCAATCTCGAAGACCTTGAACTCAATGCCGGGTCCGTGTGCCTCGAGAGCGGCGCTCGGTAGCCGTGCTGCGAGATCGAGAAACTCCTTGGCGATCTGGATCGGACCGTGTACGGCAATGGCTGCGGCGTTGGCGCGACGGCCCGTGTTGGCGCGCCAAATGAGAATCTGCATCCACTGACGGGTCGCGAGAATGTCGGCCTTTTGTACGTCGTTGCCGCCCTGCTCGAGATCGAGGGCATCCTCCTGCAGGCGTCGCTGCAGCGTGCTCAGGACATCAAAGTTTCGCGCGCCGGCGCCTTCAGCACCGTCGGCTGAATCTTGTAAAATCTCAAAGGCGCCAGACTGGTCGAAAATCCAGAACAAGTTGACAAGCTTCT